GCAGAATGTCTACATAGCAGAATGTCTACAGTAGCCAAAATATGGAAGGAGCCGAGATGCCCTTCAACAGATAAATGGATAAAGAAGATGGGATCTGTATATACAATGGAATATTACTCAGCCATCATAAAGTATGAATACCCAACATTTGCATCAACATGAATGGAATTGGAGGGGGTTTGCTAAGTGAAATAAGTCAAACAGAGAAAGTCAATTATATGGTTTCACTTATATGTGAAACATAAGGAATAGCATGGAGGACCTTAGGAGAAGGAAAGGAAACATGAAGGGGGGGAATCAAAGGGGGAGAAGAACCATGAGAGACTGTGGACTCCAAGAAACAAACTGAAGGTTTTAGAGGAGAGGGGGTGCTGGGGAATGGGTTAGCCTGGTGATGGGTATTAAGGAGGACATGTATTGCATGGAGCACTGGGTGTTATACTTAAACAATGAATCATGGAACACTACATCAAAAACTAATGATACACTGTATGGTGACTAATATAACATAATAAAAAAATTATGATTATTACTATTTTTAAAGATTTTATTTGACACATAGAGAGATCACAAATAGGCAGAGCAGCAGGTAGAGAGAGGGGGAAGCAGGCTCCCCGCTGAACAGAGAGCCCAATGTGGGGCTCGATCCCAGGACCCCGAGACCATGACCCAAGCCGAAGGCAGTGGCCCAACCCACTGAGCCACCCAGGTGCCCCCAAAAAACTATTTTTTAAAAAAAAGAAGATGAGGCGCCTGGGTAGCTCAGTCATTAAGCATCTGCCTTCAGCTCAGGTCATGATCCTGGGGTCCTGTGATCGATGCCCGCGTTGGGCTCCCTGCTTGGTGGGAAGCCTGCTTCTCCATCTCTCACTCCCCCTGCTGTGTTCCTTCTCTCACTGTGTATCTCTCTCTCTGTCAAATAAATAAATACAATCTTTAAAAAACAAAAAAGAAAGAAAAAAAAAAAGAAAAACCACAGTGTGGGGGAAATATTTGCAGATCACCTAGTTGATAAAAGACTTGTATGCCGAATAAAGAATTCTCAAAACTATATTAAGATAACATAAAATGTAGTGGAAAATGTAGACAAAAGATTTGAACAGATGCTTCACCAAAGAAAATGGGGTTTTTAAAACTGCATAACTGCAAAGATACTCAGCATCATTAGTCATTAAAGAAATGAGGCTTAAAACCATAATGAAGTACCACTATTGTATATCAAAATGATTAAAGTTTAAAAGAATGACCAACATCAAGTGTTGACAAGGAAGTGAAACAAGTGGCACTTTCATACACTGGTTTTGGAAATGAAATAATCAGGAAATTTCTCAAAAAGATAAACATGAGTTTACTGTAGGAACCAGTTATTCCACTCCTGCATGTTTACCCAAAAGAAATGAGAATGTATATCCATACACGAATACTTCTACATAAATGTTTATAGCCATGTTATTTGTAATAGAGAAAATTGGAAGCAACCCCAAATGCCCATCAATAGCTCAATGGATAAGCAAATTATTGTATATTCATATAATGGAATCCTTCACAGCAGTTGAAAGGAATGAAGTGTTGATACATAAAAACAATGACTTTCAAGATGATTATGCAGTGTAAAGGAAGCCAAACAAAAACAGTAAATCTAATTTTTATATAAGATCCAAGAAAATGCCTGTAGTAATAGAAAACAGACAATTTTTTTGGACAAATTGGATTTTATTTAAAAAAATTTTTTAAACATTATTTAAATTCAATTAATTAACATAATGTATTATTGGTTTCAGAAGTACAGGCCTGTGATTCATCAGTCTTATATAATACTGGTGCTCATTACATCACATGCTCTCCTTAATGTCCATCACCCAGTTACCTCATCCCTCCACCTACCTTCTTTCCAGAAACCCTCTGTTTGTTTCCTATGATTGAGTCTTTTACGGTTTGTCTCCCTCTCTGGTTTCATCTTGTTTTATTTCTTCTCTCTTCCCCTATGAGCCTTTGTTTCTTAAATTCCACATATCAGTGAGATCGTATAATTGTCTTTCTCTGATTGACTTTTTTGCTTAGCATAATACCCTCTAGTTCCATCCATGTCATTGCAAATAACAAGATTTAAGTTTTTTGATGGTTGCCTGATTTTCTCTGTGTGTGTATGTGTGTATCCCATCTTCTTTATCCATTCATCCAGACATAATTTTCATATATAATTCTACAAAATGCACATTAGTCTATAGTTGCACAATACAGTGATTTTCTGGGGATAGGACAGGAGACCTGGATAGACAAGAAGGAGAGATTACAAAGGACTACTAGGAAACCTTTGAATGGGGATGGATATATCATTTTGGTTGTGGTGATGGTTTCACACTTGCATTGTTCTGTTACTTTAAATATGTGCAGTTTATTCTGTATCAATTATATATCATTAAGCGCAGAAGTAACAAATAGGAGCTCTTTTGTGTTTAGCTTAGGGGTATTCTCGTCCCTTAAAAATAAACTGATTGTTTTATTTTGCCATTAGATATAAAATTACTATTGGATTCTCATATATAATAAAGTCTTTTACCCAAACTCTTAAACTGTGGAAGACAACGTAAAAGTCTTAATTTTTAGACTCTTCTTTCTTTTCCTAAGTTTTCTTCAAGGTAGTCTGTTAATAGTAGGAAGAAAGTGGATGTTAGAGTAAACCAATTTGTATTTGAATCCAGTTTCTATGATCTTCTCTATGTGTAACCTTCGGCAGGTTAATCAATACCTGGATCTGCTTACTAAATAATTTGGAGATATTTACCTCAATGTTGTTTTGAAAAGTCACCTGAGATAGCAGTGTTTTCTAGTAACACTTTCAGAGTACCTGCAACTTTCTGCATATATGATCCTGGACAAGTTACTCAGTTTCTCTAAAAGTATTTTCCAATCTAAAATGGAGACACCTAGCTTAAGGATTGTTTTGAGAACTGAGATAACATGGTTGTTTACTGTAATATGTCTCATAGAATATGATGCATATAGGGGTTTAGAATATGTAAGTTTCTTTCACCTTCAGCAGGCTCTAAAAATATGTTCCAAATTATCAGTTTCCCCAACAAGATTTTAAAATTACAACTAAGAGGGGCGCCTGGGTGGCTCAGTGGGTTAAGCCGCTGCCTTCGGCTCAGGTCATGATCTCAGAGTCCTGGGATCGAGCCCCGCATCGGGCTCTCTGTTCAGCAGGGAGCCTGCTTCCTCCTCTCTCTCTGCCTGCCTCTCTGCCTGCTTGTGATCTCTCTCTGTCAAATAAATAAATAAAATCTTTAAAAAATAAATAAATAAATAAATAAAATAAAATTACAACTAAGATTTTAAAAAACTGAACTTAAAAATTAATCCTTAGAATGTATTGGCTATTGAAGTTTGTATTATACAATTCAGAGTTTTATCACTTCTGCTCTATATGAAAGTTTTCTCAAAGTTTAGTGTAATTCAGGGCACCTAGGTAGCCCAGATAGTTAAACATCTGCTTTCAGCTCAGGTCATAATCTCCAGGTCCTGGGATTGAGCCCTATGTTGGGCTCCCAGCTCAGGAGGGAGTATGCTTCCCCCTCTTCCTCTGCCTCTTCCCCTGCTTGTGCTTTCTCTCTCTTGCTCTCTCTCTCTCTCAAATGAGTAAATAAAATCTTAAAAAAAAAAAAAAAGTTTAGTGTAATTCTCTGACCTGTTGATTGATCCTAGATGGAATAAATAACTTTCTCTCAATCCTTTCAGAATTTTCCATGCTTCTTGATTTGTATTGTTATGTCTAATTAAGAATAGTGGGCTCTCGGGGCACCTGGGTGGCTCAGTGGGTTAAAGCCTTTGCCTTCGGCTCGGGTTGTGATCTCAGGGTCCTGGGATCGAGCCCCATATCGGGCTCTCTGCTCAGCGGGGAGCCTGCTTCCCCCTCTCTCTCTCGGCCTGCCTCTCTTCCTACTTGTGATCTCTGTCTGTAAATAAATGAATAAAATCTTTAATTTTTTTTTTTAAGATTTCATTTATTTGTTTGACAGAGATTATATGTAGGCAGAGAGGCAGGCCAAGAGAGAGGAGGAAGCAGGCTCCCCGCTGAGCAACGAGCCCAATGTGGGGCTCGATCCCAGGACTCTGAGGCCATGACCCGAGCCAAAGGCAGAGGCTTTAACCCACTGAGCCACCCAGGCGCCCCATGAATAAAATCTTAAAAAAAAAAAAAAATAGTGGGCTCTCATTTTTGAGATGCTACTGAGAATAATTTTGCTTCTCATGTTAAATAATTTAAGACTGGCTCAAATTGAGAAAATCTTCTTTATGTTGTATATAACTCAGTTAACTGTATCTGTTTCTGTACTTTGGAAATTCAGGTAAAGATAATAACGGAATCTCAGATTAGGACTGTCATTTAGGTATAACTCATGGTATTGCTTCTAGATCTCTGGCCTGCCCTGCACTAAATTTTTAGTTTAACCAGAATTTTGAAAATGTTCATAGAATTAGAACCACATCTGAACAACTTCCTCCACTTTAGATTTTGGGAGAAATCTAGATCATGGGCCTTCTGGAATAATTTGTTTCACAGGATGCCCTTTTGTGATTTCCATCATGGTTCCCAGCCCATGTGCTTTAGAGTCATTGTAAAAAGTTATCAGTTTGCGCCTGAATTTCTTTCATTAGCTAGTACTAGAATGACCACTGTTACCATGTGAGGGATCTCCTACTTTAAATATTCGGGAAACACTCTTCTTTCAGATCCCTTGTTATTTTAAGAGCTTAATAAAAAATTATGTCTTTAAATACTGTTCATTGACTACTGGTACACATTGAATCTTTTTAAAGCAACAGTTTATTTTGGAATATGTAGATTTATATGTGAACTTCTTCAGAGCTTTCTTTAGGCCTCATTTAAATACTTAAATTAGTCTCTGTGAGTTTAAGTAATTTATGATATTCACACTAAAGTATTTCATGAACTATTGTTTCTTTTTATTTATTGGGTTTACTTTTTTCTTTTACAGATGGTGATGCCCAGTCACTTAAGGAACATCTTATTGATGAATTAGATTACATACTGTTGCCAACTGAGGGCTGGAATAAACTTGTCAGCTGGTACACTTTGATGGAAGGTCAGGAACCAATAGCACGAAAGGTACATATTTAGAATTAGTGAATAAAAATATTTGTATTGAAGTCACATTTTATTGTTATAATTTAATGACACGAATCCTCATCAAATATCTAAGAGAAAAAGACCATCAAAATGTTACTTTTATATTGTATAATAACAATAGCTAATACCTATAGAGGATTTACTATTTGCTAGCCACTGTTAGAAGCAGATTATACATTATTATTAATTTAGTCCTCACAGGAATCTCTATAGGGTAGGTATTATTATCTTCATGTAGATGAGGAAATGAGGACAGAGGTAGAGAAAGTCACATCAATTTAGAAATTCAGGCAACCTCTTTTCTTAACCACTGTACTGCAAGTTTTACAATAATAGTCTAGAAACATTAAAAATGATCCATTATCTTTACTTTTTGGAACTAAAAAGTCATTTATGAAAGTGAGGATGTTGTCATCATAGCAGAACACTAAGTGTTTAAAATAGATCTGTCAGTCTTACATAAGTATTTGTTAATGGTATCAGGCAGGGAAAGGGAAAGAAGGAAGGGTTTGGGGACCAGGATCTCTGAGCATATAATTATTTATCTGTGTTGGTTTTTCCACACAGAAACAATTAAAAAGTCAAATTATGTAACACAGGGTACAAACCTCTAGTAGACCAAACCATACATAGATTTATTTGGAACTGTTGCTACAGACTAGTTATATTAATGATTTGTATGTATGTATTGATGGTTTAGGGATAGAATTCAGTTCTGTTTTCTAAATAGAATGTGAGTGTACCTTTGATTTAGTTCAGTTTTTATTTTATTTTATTTTTTTATTTGAGAGAGAGGACACGAGCAGGGGGGAAGGGCAGAGGGAGAGGGAGAAGAAGACTCTCTGCTGAGTAGGGAGCCTAATGTGGGACTCGATCCCAGAACCCTGGGATCATGACCTGAGCTGAAGGCAGATGCTTAACTAACTGAGCCACTCAGTCACCCTAGTTCATTTTAGTTTTGACCCTTAACTTCACTCAGCCTTCTCTTACAGCCACTTCAAAATTAGGATTTCTGTCTTTTAGAAATGCTAGCCTTATACATATAAAATAACCTATTGCTCAATTAAAGGATTGAGTATTTAGCTCTAAAACTGTTTAGAAGAAGAACTTTATTCCTGGGATAAAAGAAAATCTATGCCTGGAATATCTTCAAATATGCTAACCTGTATTACTTTAACCTTAATGATGTACTTTTTTTTTTCTTAATAAAGGTAGCATATTATACAGTACTAGTATTTGGTATGGTAAACAGACCAACCAACAACTTCATTGGCATTACTTTTTGAAAGAGGCCATGTTGGAATTTCTTAAAATCTGTGTCCAACAGCAAATTGAAATAAGTAGATAAATAAATATAAATCATGAAAACTTCACACAGAGAGAAAAAAAGTTTCTCTGTTAAGAGGTCATCCATATATTTGTAATAAGATAGTTTAGAATTATTCAACCTGTAAGATAATACTTAAGCTTTAGTGTGCGTAAAATTATCTGGAGTTGTTTTTAAGAAGTCTTCCTCCAAAATTAAATTAGTAAGTCTGGGAATTTCCACCTCTACTTTGCCCCCATGTGACTCTTATGACAATGAAATTTACTTAAAGAATTACTATTTTTTTAGGGTCTGAAGCCCAGCTGGGAATTTTAACTAATCTCTGAATTGAGGAATTTAGGATTAGTAGATGTGATGTAGAAACAAAGTAGTTAACCATCTCTCTGTGCCTTGAATCATCTCTAAAACGTTTCACTTATAATGTCAGACACTCAGTTAAAACAACAACAAAAAAGGCAAAAATAAACATACATGAACAAGAAATACAGTGGAACCAAAATCTAAGAGAAACAATAGACAGTGGAAACTGACCATAAGGAATCCAGATAGTGGAGTTAGACAGAAACTTCAAAATACTGTGCTTTATTATGTTTAAAAAAAATAAGATAGTTGAAGGACAAAACTGTTAAGAACAAATATTATTCCAAAACTATTAAGATCCAAATATAATTCTGTAATTCTAAAAGTAATTTGAAAAAATTAAGTAAATACTCAGTGTTTAATTAAAACACTAAATAGAACCAAAGAGAAAATTTGTAAACTAAATAACATCAGTAGAAAGTATACAGATTAAAACTTAAAGAGACTGAAGGATGGAATGTACAGAAATAAGCAAATACACTTGGAGCACAATGCATAATTTTAACATACACATAAGTGGGCTCTTAGAAGGAGAGGGAAGTCAAAATAGAGTAGAAGTAACACTGGAGTTAATAGCTGAGAATTTTCTAAAACTGATGAAAGGTGACATGCTATATAGAATTAAGAAATGCTGTGAAACCCATGCTAACAACAACAAAAAAATACAAACAAAACCAAGCAAAGGCAAAAAAATATATATATTCCTAATAGTAGCCCAAAAAAAAAGTCTGTTACCTTCAAAGTAATAATAAACAAACGAATTCTCAGGAGAAATGAAAGCTGAAAAACAACCAACCATCTTCAACATGATGAAAGAAAAATAACTGTGCACTCAGAATGCTGTATTCTTCAGGTGGTGAAAAAGTTATTTTCAGATAAACAAATTGACAGAGTTTGTAACTAGCAGAACTGTGCTAAAGGAAAAACAAAACAATCTTTAGAATGGAAGGAAATTATTCCGTATGGCAGCTTGGAGACACAAGAGAAAATGTAGATTGACAACAGTAAATATTACAAATAAATGTTAAGTCAGGCTATTTAAAATGATAGGTATTTCTTAATTGGGATGAGTATATGCATAAATTTAAAATATGTGATATTTGCATATAAGTTAAGATAGTAGCCTCCTAGGTAACTTCCAATGAGCTCCTCCTTATATCCTCATCCTTGGGTAGTCCCCTGTGGCCAGCAACATACAGCAGAAGTTATAGCATGTGTATCACTTTCAAGATTAGCTTTTAGGGTTGAGGGAGTCAAAAGGTATAAACTTCCTGTTATAAAATCGGTAAATCATGGGGATGTAAATATATAGCATGGCGACTATAGTTAATAATAGTGTATTGCATTTTTGAAAGTTATTGAGAGTAAGAGTAGATCTTAAAAGTTCTCATCACAAGAAAAAAATTTGTCATAGGATGATGGACGTTAACTTATTGTGATCATTTTTCACAACATAGATAAATATTGAATCATTATGTTTTACACCTGAAACTAATATATTATATGTCAGTTGTACCTCATTAAAATAGAAAAAATCAGACTATAAAAGACACCTTGACTCGCACTTGGGTGCACACACACATTTGGTATGGTAAACAGACCAACCAACAACTTCATTGGCATTACTTTTTGAAAGAGGCCATGTTGGAATTTCTTAAAATCTGTGTCCAACAGCAAATTGAAATAAGTAGATAAATAAATATAAATCATGAAAACTTCACACAGAGAGAAAAAAAGTTTCTCTTGCTCTCTCTCAATTCTCAATCTGGGGAATTCAGCTGCATATTCAGGCAGCCTGTGGCAGGGCTCATATGGTAAGGAACTAAGACTTCTGACTAGTAGTGAGAAATGGAAGCCTGCTAACAACCATGTGAGTGACCTTGGAAGTGAATCCTCTAGTTTCATGCAGCTTTCAGATCATTGAAGCCCCAGCCCACAGCTTGACATCAGTCTTTCAAAAGACCCCAAGCCAGAATAACCCAGCTAAGCTGCTCCAGATTCTTGACCCTCAGAAACTGTGTGAAATAATGTTTACTCTGTTAAGTTCCTGGGTTTGGGGGGTGATTTATTAGGCAGCAGTAGAAAACTGATAACTAATTTTGGCACCTGGAAGTAGTGTGCTGCCTTAACAAAATTTGAACTGTGGTGGTAGAACCAGGCAGGGAGCAGAAGTTGTAAGAACCTGTAAGAGTATTAATGAAAGCCTGAGGTGCCTTGAATAAATTGCTAGTAGAATTTTGGACTTTGAGGAGGACTTACAGGACAGTGAAGAAAATCTTACCGGAACCCAGAGGAAAGTGGTCTTTGTTATAAGGTAGCAGAAAGTTTAGCAACATGTCAACTGCAGTAAATTGAAAGATGAAAAACTGTAGCTGATGAACTGAATCATCTGCCAGAACTGCCTGGTTTTCTTGTGCGCACATAATCAGAAGAGAGAAGGGAGAGAGAAGCTAAAGAAAGGGCTGCAAAAAAGGAGCCAAGACCTACTAGTGTTTTGAGGATTTCTGGCCTCTCCAGATGACGGACAATGCTGAAACTATGATGTGTTCCCAAGCAAAGATGAAACTCAAGGCAGTCTCAACTTTAACCAAAAGTTAAAGCCACGGGGATATGACTGTAAAATTCTTTAAGACCTCAGAAAAATCAAAGATAGTGCCTCACAATAGTGTTCAGACAAAAGGCCCTTTAAAGGATTTCAGGTATACTTTACACTTCCTTTCAATATGTGGCTTCTAAGAACAGTAGGGCTTCTAAGAAGCTTAAGAGCATTGCCCTTCAGTCTTCTCAGCATAAACCCAAGATAGGACATATCTAGAGGACATTTGAGGATCTGCCTTTTTGTGTAATGGAATGAGACTCCAGTGAGATGCACTGGAGACTTAACGATGTTTTTAAGAACCACTACCGTCTTGGACTACAGAGACAGTGTAAAATCAAAGTGTCTCCTAGACTTCTACAGAAATCAGGATCAGACTAAGAATTTACAAACTGCAAACATGTGCTAACTTTCATGAAAATCGTATGACCCAGAACCAGAATCAAGTGTTGTTGAAGACTTGTTTTTAGGTAATGGCAGAATAAGCCCTAATCAAGGAACTTTAAGTATTTGCCCAGGTGGATTTCAGAATGTCTGTGGACCATTGCCTCCTTTGTTCCTCTTACCCCCATACCCCTTTGAACAGGAATATCTTAAAAAAATTATTTTCTGCATGTCCCACCATTTTATTTTTGGCTATATTTGGGGCTTATCTTATCTTGTAGTTCACAGAATTATAGATAAAGAGGAACTGTACTCAAATGCTTAAGAAACTATACCCAAGGATCCTTATCTGTACCTGGATCAGATATAAATGACAAGTTTCTGAACTTGGAGTTGATATTATAATGGGATGATATTAGTGGGGGCTTTGCAGGGAGTGAATGTATTTTACATGTTGCAGGGAGGGACTGTGACTTGTTGGGAGCCAGAGAGTGAACTGTAGTAGCCATCCTCAAAATACTCCACAGTGATCACCACCTCCTGGTATTCAAACTCTTGTGTAATCTCCTACATTGTACCAGAGTTAGTCTCTGTGACCAGGAAATATGGTGGAGTAATAGTATGTTTCTTCTGGGATTAGTCTCTAAAAGATGTTGGTGGGAAGTGCTCTTTTGCACTCTCTTGCATGCATGCTCTCTCTTTCTCTCTCAGATCAGTTGCTTTGAGTGAAGCCATATTGCCATGCAGGCAGCCTATAGAGGCACTCACATGATGAGGAGCTGAATTCTCTGCCAGCAACTGGAGAGGATCTGAGGACTGCCACATGATTGAGCTTGGAAGCAGTTTTGAACAACATGATTAAGCAGCATGACCTAACTGACATGCATTGCACTTAGTAAATGCAGAATACAAATTCTTCTTAAGTGGAATTTTTACCAAAATTGACCATTTGCTGGGCTCTCAAGCAAATTCCACTATATTTCTAATGATAGAAATTATTCAGTGTATTTTCTGTCCCCAGTGGAATTGAGAAGTCATTAACAAAAAGGTAACAAGATTGTCTCCTAGCTCTCTAGAAGTGGAATAATATACTTCCAAAGTAATCCTTAGGTCAAAGAAGAAATACAAAGTAAAATTAAACATTTTTAACTGAGTGGTAATAACAGTACTATGTGAAAGAATGACTAAAGCCACTCTTATAAGGAGTGTGATAGCTTAAATGCATTTATTAGAAAAGAAAGTCAAAATCTATTGTCTCAAGAAGTTGAGAGAAGAAAAGGAAATTAAGCTAATCGAGAAATAAAAATAGACATTAATAAAGTAGAAAAAAATCTATATTAAATGAACAAAGTTGATTAAAAAAACAGTGAAGTTAGATAAGTAAAATAAACTTGAGTCCTGGCAAGAGTGATCAAAAATAAAATAATGCCCAGGGCTGGGGGACGGGAGTCATCAAATTTTTTCTGTAAAGGGCCATATAGTGAATATTTATGAGCCAGGATAGTCTCTGTAGAAACTGTTTATCTCTGCTGTTTTGGGTGCAGCCATAAATGATATATAAATGAATGGGCTTGACTCTGTTCTAGTAAAATGTTATTTACAAAAATAATACAAGTCAAATGTAGCCTGTGGGTCGTAGTTGGCCCATCCCTTATCTTGGCCCTGGTTAGTTAATGCCTACCTACATCACAAATAATATTATTTGTATCTTATTTAGAATATATCTCACCATCTATGAAGTAGTCTTACTAAAAATTGCAAGAATAAAAAGATAGATGGTGAACTTTTCAATTAAATTATATTTTGGAGATTTATCAGTCAGTTGTGCTGCATGGGCTTTATTTGGATCCTGATTCAATAAAAATGAAATGGGGACAATTTGAATATTGACTGGATATTTGATATTAAGGGATTAGTTTTAATTTTGTTAGGTGTGATGTGGTATTGTGGTTTCTGAGTCCTTGTTTTTGAAGAAATATATCCTGAAATATTTGTGGATGAAATACTACATGTAGAATTTATTTATACTTCTCTACTTGTCTATTTTTTACCACTAGTAAGCGTAGTACTCAGTAAGCACTACAAAAACGAATGTTGCTAACTCCTCAAAAATAGTAAATGTGTCCCATTAGGCCATGTCATCAAACCATTCTAGAGTACCAGATTTCTTTAGAAATAACTTTGTTTCCAAAGGGGGAGAAGTAAGCACTTGGAATTAAGGAAAGTTTCTATGAAACTTTCATATGCCCATTTATTTTATTTTATTTTTAAAGATTTTATTTACTTATTTGACAGAGACACAGCTAGAGAGGGAACACAAGCAGGGGGAGAGGGAGAAGCAGGCTTCCTGCCGAGCAGGGAGCCCGAAGCAGGGCTCAATCCCAGGGCGCTGGGATCACTACCTGAGCCGAAGGCAGATGCTTAATGAGTGAGCCACCCAGATGCCCCTCATATGACAATTTAAAGAGTACATGAAATTTATCAATATATTTCATGACTTTCTACAAAATGCTCTCTTAATATTCGCAGCAAAATGAACAAATTGTATTTATTTTAGTTCAGTGTAAACTTGTATTTCCCTCACTAATTTAGTAAAGAGATTTTACCTTCATTGTGGCTGTTAGTTTATGGGACTATTTTTATTTAGCCATAAGCTTTACATTTTGGACAGGAAGCCAAATTTCATCTTATGCTTGCTCTTTGTTTATAATAATATAACACAATTCACTTAGAAAAAAATAGTTTGGCAGTCACCTCTAATTCTGAAACATAACTATTATTTCTGAATATTCATGTTCCAGTCTTATTTCAAATGTGTATTTTAATGGTCATAATAATTAGGTAAGTATAACTTTGTACCTTGTTATAATTTTATAATCTCGTTTCTTCCTGTTACACAGTTTTCGTAGCCATTATTTTAAATTATTTTTAGTGCATTTTTAATAAGGTAGTAGACTTTATATAAACAAATATAAAGAAGATATTATATAATTAAATAATCTACATACAAACATAATAACACTAATACATAAATATGCTAGTTATTTTTCTCTACTATGGAGCTACTGTGTTCAAGCTTTAATTATTCATATACTATGGTTCTTTCAAATAAAAGTAGGGAGGACAAACTCATATTTTCTTTAAAAAAACAGTTTTTTAGGGTTGCCTGGGTGGCTCAGTGGGTTAAGGCCTCTGCCTTCGGCTCAGGTCATGATCCCAGGGTTCTGGGATCGAGCCCCGCATCGGGCTCTCTGCTCAGCAGGGAGCCTGCTTCCCCCTTTCTCTCTGCTTCCCTGTCTGCCTACTTGTGATCTCTGTCTGTCAAATAAATAAATAAAATCTTTAAAAAAAAAAAAACAGCTTTTTTAATACACTGCTTTTGGAAGTAGTAAAAATGTCTTATGAACATAGTAGTATTTTGAGTGCTGATAATGAGGGTTTTAACAATATAAGATATTGTTGGAGAGAAGAAGAAAAATGGTGAGAAAAATCCTGAAACCCAATAAAGTGGATTTTGAAATAATCTTGGTGTTTTGTTTTCATTGTTTATAATGACTAACAGCTAAATCACTAGATTTAGTGATTTAGTTTCCAGGAAAATTTCTGTTGGTGTTATGAAAATTAATCCTCATTTTTTAAAAGCTATGCTTATGTAGAAAAATATTTCTCAATGTAAATAATAATGAGGGATTTTCTTTTTTGTTATTTTATCCTGTTTTATTATGCCATTACCTGCTCTGTTGATCATTCTATTTTTCCTCCTAAAAATGAGGCCTGTGGGCACCTCAGTTTTAGCAACTTACCAATGATTAGTATTAATATATTTTAGGATTCTTACTCAGATATTGAGTCCCAGAGCAAAAATTTCTGATTGATAGAATATTTGATTTCTGCTTTTTCTACTTAAATATAGCTACACATAATCCTGTAAAATTAAATGATAAGGTAGCTTTTACTACGTCCTTAACCTCAAAAATAAATAAGCATAAGAGATTTAAAACAAATTTCATTAGTTAAGAGATAATTTATATATTAGTCTGTAAAAGTAATTAAAATCTAGAGAGGTACAGGCTGTTGCCTGTTTTAGAAATGTGAATATAACAAGTGTAATTAAGAGATTATAAATAACCAAGTATTATAAAAATTAGTGTTGGATTGGAAATTAAATATTGGCTAAACCGCATTTGAAGTTTTTGAGCTAAAACAATTTCCCTGCAAGTGAAAGACAAATTTGTAAGGCCTTTGCTGAACTGATGCTAAGCTTGTGAGTTACAGCAGTTACTTGGAGCCTCCCTTTAGCCATATTTGTCTAATGTATCACGTATCAAGCTGATTACTATTTTCAGAAACAGTATTCATGACTGAAATTCTACAGTTAACCTTTAGAAGATCAAAAGGAAATATACTTACTTAAAAGGTGACCCTAATATATACATATTTTCTCTTTTCCTGCTTTGTTGCTTGCATGTTTAGCAGCTTTTTTTCTTTTTCCTTTCGTTGCATAGAATTACTAAGCGTATTTAAAGGTCAAAGAAAGTCATCTTACGTTGGAAAACTAACATATCACTTACAGGCCATTGCTGAATATTTTGGCCGCAGTAATTTGGAGTTCTTTTAAAAGATTATTTTAACATACAGAGTGATTTAACATACAGAGTTAGCTGTTGCTAACTGAAATTTTATAAAATTTATCATTTTTAAGGGTTTTCTGCTTGAGATCAAGTAATAAAAGCTAGGAGTCGGTCTGGATCATTAATCAGAGCTGTATTTACATTGGGAATAAACTTTCTCATTATAAATACTGAATGTATTCATTATTTATAGTATACCAAAATATCTTCATAGATGGGTAGAATGCCTTTCCAAACTATCTGTTAATGTTTAATATGATTATTCATGTTCTCTTAAATATTCCAAATATATTTCTGGCTTTTTCAACTATCTAGTATCTCTTACTTCATATTGACAGTTTTTAATAGTTATTTTTTTGGAGATCTGCAGTTTCTAAAACCTCTTTAGAGAAATCTATTGCTATTAGAGACAGTGAAAAATATTGAGCTACAGCTAACACTGATTTGTTTTCGTTTTTAGGTGGTTGAACAGGGTATGTTTGTAAAGCACTGCAAAGTGGAAGTATATCTCACAGAATTGAAGCTCTGTGAAAATGGAAACATGAACAATGTTGTAACTCGAAGATTTAGCAAAGCTGACACAATAGGTAATGCAAGATCTGTCTCTCTGTTGAACCACTGCTATCAGAAATTTAGTTGTTATTCTACTAGGATGATAACTAATTTTTAACGGTTTATACTTAAAACGTTACAGATTTCCAACCTTGATGCAATATCTCTTAGCCTAGATTTGAGTTATTTATCATGTCTAGATCTACTATACATTATTAGGTGAGTTTATTATTTGTGCCCCAAAAAATCAAATAATTATTGTTTTAATTGAGCATTTGAAAAAATACATACGTTTGTAACCTGGGTATAAAGTAGAATTGTAAGTAAAAATAAAAACTTGATTAAATAAACATTTTTCAGGTAATATAATATAGATATCAATAATAATAATAATAATAATAATGTTTCCCCTTCTTAGCATGGAAAATGACAAACTTTTTATTTTCTTTTTTCCTATTTATTCTCTGGACTTGAAATGCAAATTAAGTAGCTTCTTAGATAAGGCAGTAGGCTTAGCATTTTTATGACAAATTGATTTTTTTCTTTTTTTAACAATGAGTAGGTACAAATACAACTATACCTAACTCCCACTGTATATTTATATCTACATATACCTATATATTTATGTATCTGCACATATAAGTTCATATTAAAATGTGGAGTTTTTGTTGTATTTGTTGTATTTAAAAGCCACATTTTAATTTAAGATCAAGAATATGTTGAATGAGATGTTTTTTAAATAAATGATCATGGATTTAATAACAATTACAGCATTTTTTGATAAATCATAACTCAAATTATGAAAGTTACTTATTTTCAAATAAAGGTATTATAAAATAAGACTAGGGTAATAACACTGATGTTGTTGGAAAATGTAAACAGACAGTAGAGACATAGTTAATGCAGAACTTCTCAGCAAGAAAAAGGTTAGCAAATTTATGTATAGCTTTCTTTGTTTAAACTAATTGTTTAAGTATATTTTGGTTAAAAGTAAATAAGAATATTTACTTTTGACTTTCACAAATATATTTGACTTTTACTACTTAACCCATTTCACAGCAGAAGATATTTATAAACCTGTATTTTTCATGAAATAACATTATCATTCTTTAGTACCCAGTACTTGGTTGATCCTCATGTTTTTGCGAAATGGAATATTATGTATGAATTTCTGTTTTCCCCCTCTTTATATACCTAGAACATTTATAAGTTTGCAGTGCACTTTAGTATATTCATCTTTCTAAAATGAAAGCTTAAAATACTAAGAATTCCATATATAAATGTCATTTTATTATACTAATATATATAATTACTTAATTTTTGAATTTCTAGGTTTGTGGAACATATTCAGGAAAATAAAACATTGCTTCATACTAAAAACTGAAAGTTTTCAATATGTATAAAACTTCACTAATCATGATATTAAAGTATGCACAATAAGAATCATCTATCCAACAAGGGTAATCTGTTAAAGTTAAATAAAAAAACTAATGTCTGAAATGTTCAACTATTTAGAATATAAATGAGAAGCTACTTCTTAAAGCACTTCATACAGTAATGTTTTCTAGTTATTTTAAAAGTTATTTCCCTTTCTCCTTAGCTAATTTCTATAGAAAAATTATGTATAAATATGAGACAATCAAAAATCTTATTTTAGAATATTAGTTCACTGAATAATATTTTTAACTCATTATATGAAGATCAGCTGGTTTAATTTCTGAATTCAGTACAAGCCCTATGGTGTTCTCATATTAAGTACTAAGTAAGAATTTGTCAAGGAGATAGTTAATTTTTTTTTTTTTAGGAGATAGTTAATTTATAAAGAATCTCTGCTTCAAAAAGTTTATAATTCGCATAGATTTTAGTCAGCATAGTTAAATTTACTAATATTTTAAAAAGCTACATACATTGAATATATGCCTTAAAATTGTGAATTAACTTAATTTTTATACAGCTGAAATTTCTTACTAAATTAGAGCAATGTTTGTCAAGACTTTGGATGGCCATTACATATTTTGGGAGTAAAAAAAAATGGAATGAAAAGTATCAAAATAGAAAATAGTAACACATATGTGTATTTTGGGTCACAATTTCTTACTGTAGGTCTTAGTTTTTAAAAGTCTGACTATATTAGAGCAAGTTTGCTTTCTAAGCAAAAGGTTTTGCAAAAATTAAAATTAAACTGGGAATTTTAGAGACTTCATGATTACAATTATCATAGTATTTAACCATTGTGGAATACTTCCTATGTTTTTGGCACTTCTTAGGAAGTTTAAACCTCAACAATACTGTATCCTCATTGGTTAGGGGATGAAGTTGAGGCTTAGGAAGTTTAAATATTTATTTAGGTTCACCCTGGTTCTACGTGAGAGTCCATATTTAAACTCCACACAGTCTCATCTCTTGGCTGCTGCCTTATACAATCTGTGCAAAAGTTAATTGGGCTAATTTTGTTTTTCTGAAGGAAGTGAGTGTTGAAATAATAAAAAATTAGGATAATAAGTATGGGATGTATATTTTTCCCTCATGATCTCATCGTGATTAAAAATGACCCAAATACATAAGGTACATAAAACATAGATATGTTATAAAAATAGAATTAAGAAATAGAAGCACCTGTTTTCTGTTTTTGCCAAATTAATAAAATGTCTCATTTTCAGCTAATACTACCTACACTGACTTATGATATAGTTGCCATAGGCAGGATCTAAATAATTTACCTCATTCAGAGCCAAAATATCTTGGCTTTGAGTATTTTTCTCCTTAAATTTACATATTTGGTTTTTTTTTCCCTTAAGGTAGGATGTGCAAGAAGTGAATTAAATTGACATATTTGAGTGTAGAACACGTTCCAATAAGAAATATAAAATTTGGGTTTTTAAAAATTTTTTCTTTAAGGATATACTGAAAAAATAATTTTTGTTATAAAATTACTAGAAAATGCTTTGTGTTTATATAAAATTTATTAAAAAATTGTTTAACCTTGTTATTAAATATTCTTAATAGAAATTTTGTTATAATTTTATTTTATTATATGAATTAATATTTTCCTACCTCTGTAAGCTTTTCATTAACTGCCTAATACAGTCAGACTCATATATGGAAAAATCTACACACACTCTTAATACTTTGACATTCTCAACTCAAGTGATCTTAATCTGTATTCAACTTCAGGTATCAGTTTCCCAGCTATACCCTAGCCTGTCATTATCTATAACTGCATCTGGCAGATCTCCGTTTGATCATCCTGCTTTCTGCCTGCCATTTACTCTGCTTCCATTCTCACTTGACCCTGCTACATCAGACATTCAAACCTACCACTCCCTTGGCACTGCGTCTGTGATGGTCTCTAATTAGTTCCATGTTGATAAATCTAATGGTAATTTTAGCCTTCCATTTTCTTAACCTGCCAGCAAAAATTATACTTATTCACTTTTCCATCTAGAAATAACTTCTTTTTATGTGGCTTCCACAGCACAAGTTTTCACTGCCTACATCTCCTCAGAAAATCTAAAAACATCCTCTTCGGGGTGTTGCCATGCTTAGTCCTTTAATGTCCTCTTTTGTTTGATGATTTCCTTCCATGCCCTAACTTTTTACTTTCTGCATACTGGTATCTTTTGTATTTGTTTCTCCTGCCCAGAACTCTCCCCTAATTCCAGTTCATTCAATCCATAGCTTCACTTCCATCTGATAGGAATCTCAAGATGTAACATATATGCAACTGAAGTCTGTCCTTCCCCATCTGAGTATTCACCACTTGTATTCTTTCAATTGCTCAGGCTAAAAACCTTGGTATCATTCAGATTCTCTTTTGTTTCTCACCCTGCATGTTATCTAGCAGCATATCATCTCAGCAGTTCTTCAGAATTTGTTCTCAGTCTGACCACTTAACATTGCTTCTCCCTTAGTTTTGATTGCTGCATAGTCTAGACTCCTACACTTGACATCTTGCAGTTTTCCCACTAGCAGCAGAAGTGAACTTCTACAGTGTCAGTTAGATCATGCCACTTCTTTGTTCAAAATTCAGTTGCTTCTCCTCTTACTCAGATAAAATAGAATTCTTTAATAACTTACAAGATTCTAGACGAAAGTCTCGTTTCCACCTTGCTCATTTCACTTCAGCCACATTGGTGCACCATGCTGTTCTAAGACATGCCAGATACATTCCCACCTCAGAGCCTTTTGCACTCCTTTCTTCTGCTTATAATATTTTTCTCCAGTATGAAGTATCTTATAAAACTCAATGAAGAGGAAATTCCTATATGTTTCTGTATGTATTGTATTATATATGTAAATATTTGTGTATATTAATAGACAAGATATTTTTTCTGAAAGAAATAGCAAAATGTTAACAGTGGCTCTCTCTATAGACATTTTATTTGTATTTCCTGAATTTTTGCAGTGAGCAGGAATTATTTATGCAATCAGGGAAAAAGTACTCATTTTTATTAGACTAAAATGACCACCCTTCCTCAGCTTCTTCCTCTAGCCTCCTTCCTGCATAATGTTCTGTTGCTTGATCTGTGTGCTGGTTATGTGGGTGTGTTCACTTTGGAAATTTATCATTATATACTAATGACCTATGCATTTTTCTGCATACATTTACACTTCAATAAGAAGAGCAAAAAAAAAAAAAACCAAAATAGAAAGCAGTTAGTATATTTTATGTAATTATTTAAATATTCTGGCTAATTTCCTCTTGAGTTTTCAGATACACTGTAAGATCTCCTATTTATTTAATGCCTTAATCAAAATCTCGTTGACTATGACTATTATAGAACTTCAGCTACTAAGTAGAACATAAACAGTATTATCAGACTAAATTTAATGATGCAGGGTTTAATGATGTAGGATTCTTCAGAGAACATATATTACTAGGTTTAGTATTTTAATGTTTCTTTCCAAACTAACCAGGTATTCTAAAATGTAGAAGTATTTTATATTTCTTTGTATGTTATTAGTTACTTTACTATTTTCTTGAGTCTAAGGTAGGCAAGTTATTGACCAGAATTCAGTAGGTTTAATAGTATTTTCTAATATCTCTTTCTCATGTTTAAAGATTTTAAAGATTCGTTTAACTATGTGGCACTGAAATTTAATTGCATCTCTACTCTCAAATATGTGTGTATTCCTGTATCTTATTTTATAGCAAGTTAACCTGCTGCAGTTTAAAAAAAGGCTTTCTCCACTCACATAAATGACTTAGAAATAAGGAAAATACATGGTTTTCCTGTGAAACCAAATTTTTACCAATACAGACATCCCTTCAAAGAAGCACTTTCTTTTGTGTCCATATATTCTGTTTTAATTAACTATTCAAACTGTAAATAATATTCAATTTAATATACATTATCCTAAAATTGGTTATATTACAGTTAAAAATAGTTTCTATCTATAGCATGTCTGACTCATACTTTTTCTAAATGCAGCATATCATCAGAAAATATATTGAATTTATAGTGTGTAAAAAGTTAAAGGTCATCCTGTATAATATAAATTATACTGTAGTATTACATGATTGAACTCTTCTCCCTTGCGAGATCTTAATTTCCCCAAGTAGTTTTTTGTCAGAGTTATAATTACCATTTTGTTCCTAAAAAGCATACTGGGTATCTTTATTGTTCTTTATATATGTCCTACATATTTGTTCATCTATTCTTGCTATTATATCAGTATTTTAAATTTAGGGCTTTTATGCTGGTGAGCACTTAGCTATGTATGGTATATTTCAAAATATTTATTATATTTATGTATCTTTCCTCCTTAAATCTAGATACAATTGAAAAGGAAATAAGAAAAATCTTCAATATTCCAGATGAAAAGGAGACCAGATTGTGGAACAAATACATGAGTAACACATTTGAACCACTGAATAAACCAGATAGCACCATTCAGGATGCTGGTTTATACCAAGGACAGGTATTGTTTAGCAATACTATTTATTTTAAGCATACTATACATGAAGCTTTTTGAAGTCCAAACTTTATGACTATCTTGACAATCTATAATGGGTTCTACTGTCTCTGACTTTGTCTTTTTTTTTTTTCCCTTAAGATTTTATTTACTTGACAGAGAGAGTTACAGCAAGAGAGGGAACACAAGCAGGGGGAGTGGGAGAGAGAGATGCAGGCTCCCCACTGAGCAAGGATCCTGAGGTGGGGCTCCATCCCAAGATCCTGGGATCATGACCTGAGCCTGAAGGCAGATGCTTAACTACTAAGCCACCCAGGCACCCTGGCTTTGTCTTCTAACTCATCTCTTCCCTGTTCTGCTGATCACTAGCAATAACTTGCTTTACTCCTTGAGTTTGAGAATAACCTACTTTTTAAAAAGAAATTATTTTCCATCAGTTAAACAGCTAATATAATAAGATGGGTCAGCAAACTTTCTGTAAAGAATCAAATAGTATTTTTGGCTCTGTAGCCCATATGGTCTCTGTTACAACTACAATTCTTCCATTGTGGTAACACAAAAGTAGTCCCAGATGATATGTAAACAATAAGCTTCATTTACAAAAGCAGTCAATGAGTTAAGTGAACTCTAGTTTGCCAGCACTTGATAAGGTATCAACCCCAATTTGGTGTTTCTTTATAATATAATCCAAAGAAGTGAATGTGTTAAGAAATGAAGACATTTAGACATAATCAGCAAGTCCTACTGATTCCATCCTCTAAATATTTTTTTTAATTATTCTCTCTATTCCATTGTCAGCCCTTTCAGTAGTGTCTTAACGGGTCCCTCTGTGTCTAGTCTTCTGTTTGTCCATCCTCAGTCTTCCATATTTCTATTAGAACACTCTTTCTAAAATGTAAAACTCGATGTTTCCTTATGATAAACCTTTCCTGGTTCCCTAACAATTGTAGAATAAAGTCTAGGCACCTTAATACAGCATGCAAGTCAAGGTATGACCCTTTGGCTAGTCTTCCAGCATCTTTAGATTATCCTTGCCTCATGATTTATACTCTAACAATACCAAACTGAACTGCTTGTATTTCCCTAAGCATACTATGCTATTCCCAGTTCCTGTGTTTTCATCTGTGTTACTCCATCTGCCTATTGTACCCTTCTTCCCAATACCTGCATCAATCCAGCAAAAATCCTTTTAAACATCAAAATATTCAAATTAACCCTTCCATTCTATCATGTAGTCTAATCAGAACAGACTGTTCATTCTTCAGATTGCAGCTCAAATATCACATCTTCTCTTCAGCCTTTCCTGATCTGTTTTTCTCAATATCTCTTTGAAGTATAGGAGTTTTCTACTTTGTGGAAAAAATTAGTCCTTTCACTTCATATGATTTATGCATATGTCTTTTGTGTCATTCATTATGTTCTTTATTTATGTGTTGAGCTTCTCCACTAGACTTTGAGTTCCTTATTTTAGTTGGACTTTGTGTCTATTTATTTTTGTTTTTATTTTTAGTACTCGACACAGAACCTGGTCCTCTGATACACGGAGATTTTTATTTTGCTTGGTTTTATTAAAAATAATTATTGACAAGGGCGCCTAGGTAGCTCAATTAGTTAAGTATCTGACTTCAGCTCAGGTCATGATCTCAGGGTCCTGGTATCCAGCCCTGCATCTGGCTCCCTGCTCAGTGGGGAGTCTGCTTGTCCTTCCTCTGTTCCTTCTCCTATCTCTTTATATATCTCTCTCTCTCTTTTCTTTCTCTCTCCCTCAAATAAAATATTTTTAAAAATTATTATTGACCCAGTATAATGATATAAAGTTTTTAAAAAAAAAATTGAGAACAACTGAGGAAATTGATTTTTAGTAAATGCCTACCATATGTCATGTATTGTATTATGCTATAAAAACAGTGATTTTTCAATGAATCGTGGAATACTACATCAAAAACTTACGATGTACTGTATGGTGACTAACATAATAAATAAAACAGTGATTTTTGGACTTACTTCAGCTATTGTAGTCTTAAATGAAATCTTATAAAAAGTAATATGTATTATAATCAAAATTTGAGTTAACCTGATTAAAACTGGAGTAAGGAACTTGGAACTCTCATGGTTAGTCAACACTCCCCTCCTTAGCCAGCCAATTCCCTCTTTCACTTCTTAGTTACCATCTGTAGGTCTTGAGATAGTTCCAGGAGTACAATTTGGAATACATAGAACCATTTCTTTATAAAACTTTTCAGTGATTGAGCCTATGTAATGGTTTTTATTCTGTCTTGTGCATTAGAAAGCAGAGGCTTAGAGAATTTAAGTAATTTGATGTTCTTGATAGGAATGCATTTATTGGGGCACCTGGGTGGCTCAGTCAATTAAGCTTCTGCCTTGGGCTCAGGTCATTGTCTCAGAGACCTGGGATAGAGCCCCACTGAGCAGGGAGCCTGCTTCCTCCTCTCAGTCTGCCTGCCTCTCTGCCTTTTTGTGATCTCTCTTTCTCTCTCTGTCTCTGTGTCAAATAAATAAATAAAATCTTTTTAAAAAATGGAATGCATTTATCACATTGCAGGTAACAGTAAATTATTTTAGTAAGAAGATTAAATTTCCTTGGGGCGCCTAGGTAGTTCAGTGGGTTAAGCCTCTGCCTTAGGCTCGGGTCATGATCTCAGGGTCTCAGGGTCCTGGGACCCAGCAAGCCTGCTTCTCCCTCTCTCTCTGCCTGCCTGTCTACTTGTGATCTCTCTCTCTGTCAAATAAACAAATATCTTTTAAAAAGAGATTAAATTTCCTTAAAACGTTTGATCTTTTGAAATAAGAATGTTTCAAAGAACATGCCTTAAATTTTCCAGATTTTGCAATTATTTTCTGACTGATGATAAATGAACTAAACATTATCCTAGACTTTTTTTTAGATGTATTTATTTATTTTAGAGGGGGAGGGGCAGAGGGGGAGAGAGAGAATCTCCAGCACACTCCCTTCTGAGCACAAAGCCCCTGGGGCTTAATCTCAGAACCCTGAGATCATGACCTGAGCTGCAATCAAGAGTCAGTCACTTAACCAACTGAGCCACCCAGGTCCCTTGTCCTGGACTTTTTAAAATTTTTACTGAAATCGAAAGTAAAATGAAAACATCAGAAAGTAAAACAAAGATAATTATTGAAGAGTTTCCCTCCCAAAATGGTGGTCTTTATCTCTTTCCCTTCCCTTCCAAAATTAAATTAAATTAAATTAAATTAAATTTTTAAATCTTTCTAAAAAATTCTCATCTTGAAAGTTTTAACCATGAGCAAAACTTTATTCAGAAAATAAGATATTTGAATAAAGGAGTGAATATTAACATTTCTGATGGCCTTCAACATTAATATCTGTGATTGTAAAAACATAACATTTTAATTGCACATACCATTAGGAATTAAATTGTTATGGTTCAACTTTATATATTTATATGATTCTTCAGTTTTAGGACCTTCCATTAAAAAGCAAACCATAAATAATGATACTAAATGCATAACTTTGAAATTTTATTGTAACTAAAGTGTTTCATTTTATAACTGATTTGTCTTCTAAATGACTGTGAAGTTTATATATATGCACATATATATGTAGTATGAAGTTTATATATATATGTATATTCAAATTTGTATTTAAATGTACTTCAAGTCATGTTTTCTCTCTATATATATATGTAGTTCAGATGCAGATGTCTTAATAAGTTGCAGTAATGGAAAACTCTTCAGCAGTTAAAAATCATTTACTAAATTCAATTTTATAAAAATATATAAATATATGATTATATCAGAATGATATCAGAAAATTGAGGAGAATCACTAACTGTATGTGATAAGTAAGAAGAGGAATATGATCAGGGAGGGACCAGGGTAGTAAGTACCCAGTTTTCTTATTTTTTATATGCTGTACACTTCATACATGTTCTTTGAATGTAGGAGATACTTATTTGTTTTTCCTTTTTTATTTAAATTCAGTTAATTGACATATAGTGTCAATTTGTTTGTCAGTTTGTTTCAGGGGTACAGGTCTTGTGATCCATTAGTCCTGTGTAATTCCCAGGGCTCATTACAACACATACCCTCCCCAATGTCCATCACCCAGTTACTCCATCCTGTCACCCCCTCCCCTCCAGCAACCCTCAGTTTGTTTCCTATAATTAAGAGTCTCTTATGATTTGTCTCCCTCTCTGATAACTTTAATATTTTAATTAGCATATTCTTTCAACAACCTGGTTCTGTGAATTTTTCTTTTGATTAGTTTGTTGTATGTGTTCTGGAAACAGGCTTATATTTTACATGATTAGGATCCAAATGCCAATTTACAAATGGCCTGAAATAGTCCACAAAAGTATTTTACTAAGAGTATGTGGAGTAGGTTACAAAATTGAAACTTTAAGAAAAAGAGTGGAAAGTGAGTATCTAGGTAATAATACTTAGCTAAGATTATACATCAGTATTTTAACAGCTGTGACAATTTATTGGGCATCTGGGGTTTTTTGCATGGTTCTGTGTTACAGTCTGCAAGTGGGAAAGAAGTAGAAAACATACTTCCTAAACTCAAGGAATTTATATTCTATTTATATTGCCCAGCTTTGGAACCAAAATGCAAATACTTCTTCACCTGTCTACTCTGTCCTTGAAATAATTCCAGATTTACTCTAGTTTCTTAGTGTAGCCAGCTAATCTTCTAAAGCTATTTTAACTTTGGAGTTAAGGAAAAACACTCTTCTGTTGTGTCATATTTACAGGTGTTAGTGATAGAACAGAAAAATGAAGATGGAACATGGCCAAGGGGTCCTTCTGCTCCTAAGTAAGTGCTCCCACTTTTTATGGCTGATTGCATGTTTTGAAGGCTTTAATTTCAGATAACAAAATCCAGAAAGATAGAAGATACCTAATTGTATGTTGCAAGTATATATACTTGCTTTATATATTAATATTTTATTCTCAGTATAGAAGTTATCTAAATTTGCATTTAAATTTAAAAGGCTTCCAATTCAAATCTCTTAGAATAAGGAACAGTGTACATATGTTGTAAATATGATGTTGCATTGTCTAATATGTCAAATCACTATTAAACATTTTATTTACTATTTTTCAAGCTTTTTGTGTTTTTTGAAGTATCTGTTAAAGAATACTCTATCAAAATGAATCTGATATGAAAGAAATATTTTTATTTATTTAAATGTTTTAGAATATAAAAGCCCAAGTAGATATAGAGGAGTATAAGAATTGCTTTTGATGGTAAATGAGGAATGAAAGAATTAGAAATCTTTCAGCTTTTTTTTTTAATATGGTAAGAACCATATTGAGATCTTGAGAGCTTGAGATCTACCCTCTTAAATCTTGAAGGGCACCATACAGTATTGTTAACTGTAGGCACATTGTTGTATAATAGATTTCTAGAATCTAACCATCTTATATATCTGAAACTTAATTCCTGTTGCTCAGTAATTTCCCATTTTCCCTTCCCCTAGCCCCTGGCAGCCATCATTGTGGTCTCTGTTTCTATGACTGTTTGACTAGTTTAGATATCTCATATATCTAAATCATACAGTTTTTGTCTTTCTATGTTTGGCTTATTTTACCTAATGTAATGTCCCCCAGGTTCATCCTTGTTATCACATATGGCAAGATCTCCTTCCTTAAAAAAGACTTAACGTTCTTTAAAAAAAATAAAATAGTCTGGATAATTCTTTGTTGCCTGTATATACATTTTCTTTATCCATTCATCCATCAGTAGACATTTAAATTATTTTCCTATCTTGGCTATTGTAAATTGTGCTGCAGTGAACATGGGCGTGTGGGTATCTCTTTGAGATGATTTCATTTCCTTTGGATATATACCCAGGAGTGAGATTTCTGGATTGTATGGTACTTCTATTTTTAATTTTTTGAGGAACCTTCATACTGTTTTCCATAGCGGCCACCTCATTATACATTTCTACCAACAGTGTACAAGTGTTCCAGTTTCTGCCCATCTTTGTGAGCTCTTGTTATCTTTTGTTCTTCTGATAATAGCCAGCCTAACAGGTATGAGGTGATATCTCAATGTATATTGATTTGCATTTCCCCAGTGATACTGACGTTGAGCATCTGTACCTGTTGGACCATTGGTATGCCTTCTTTTTGTGAAATGTTTATTCAAGTCTTAAGGCCCACTATTTAATCTGGTTATTTGGGTTTTTTGCCACTGAATTGTAGGAATTCATTATATATTTTGGATATTAACCTCTTATCAAACACATAGTTTAAAGATTTAAAAATAAGACCTGAATCTGTAAAACTCCCAGAAGACGTCTTAGTGGAAAAGCATCATCGTATCTGTACAGGCAATGATTTCTTGTCTATGACACCAAAGCATAAGTAATGAAAGCAATAATAGACAAATGGTACTACATCAAAAAAAGTTTATTATGTACAGTAGGGGAAACAACAGAGTGAAAACTGTATACAGAATGGGAGAAAATTTTTTTTTTTTTTAGATTTTCTTTATTTATTTGACAGAGATCACAGAGATCACAAGTAGGCAGAGAGGCAGGCAGAGAGAGAGGAGGAAGCAGGCTCCCTGCTGAGCAGAAGGCCCGATGCGGGGCTTGATCCCAGGACCCTGAGATCATGACCTGAGCCGAAGGCAGTACCTTAACCCACTGAGCCACCCAGGCGCCCATGGGAGAAAATATTTTTAATGTTCTTTGGAATTACCAGATCTACACTCCATTATCAAAAATACTGAGTGCTAGTTATAGTTCAATTTCAGACTTTCAAACCTTTGAAAAGTAATATGGTGCATATGCCACCTATAATTTTCATATACCTATGGATTTAGGGAGACTCTCTTAAACACATTAATATTCAGCAAATATTCACCCTGAGTAGCATAAAGGACTATAAATAGTTTCATATCAGTTTAGGCTAGATTGCCCTCAAGCGAATTATCAAATGATTTTTAAATTTTCAGAGTTTTTGGAATTTCAGATTTTCTGATAAGGGATTATAAAGCTATATTTTGAAATCCTTAAAATAATGATTCTTGAATAAAAAATAACTTATTGATTGCTAACCTAGCAAAAAAAAGAAAAATGATCCTTACAAATGAAATCCGTGGGGGTGCCTCGGTGGCTCAGTGGGTTGAAGCCTCTGCCCTTGGCTCGGATCATGATCTCAGGGTCCTGGGATCTAGCCCCGCATTGGGCTCTTTGCTCGGCGGGGAGCCAATTTCTGCCTCTCTCTCTCTGCCCGCTGCTCTGCCTACTTGTGATCTCTGTCTGTCAGATAAATAAATAAAATCTTAAAAAAAAAAAAAGAAAGAAAGAAATGCGTGGCTGCGCTGAGCCAGCTTTGGGTGCTCTGCACACCAGGTCTCCTCCTCTTCCTGTTCTTGTTAGCTATGGTGGCCATGAAGACCCTGAACCCCAAGGCCAAGGTGGCCCAAACCCAGGTAGCACTGGCAGTTAATCAGTGCGGCGCAGGAACTACAGGACATCCTGAGGTAAAACTTGGGGCCTAAGAGCACTGTGAAGATAGATGCCTGTTTCTGGTACTGAAGACATCAAGCTTACTGAAGAAGCAATGCGCTCTTACTGAAGATAGCATTGCGCTGCTCCATGAAATGCAAATTCAACACCCAGCAGCCTCCTTAATAGCAAAAGTGGCAACAGCCTAGGATGACATAACTGGTGATGATACCACTTCCAATGTCTTAATCACTGGAGACCTACTGAAACAGGCAGATCTCTACATTTGTGAAGATCTTCATCCCAGAATAACAGAAGGATTTGAAGCTGCAAAGGAAAAGGCAGTTCGGTTTTTGGAACAAGTCAAAATAAGCAAAGAGAAGGACAGAGAAACACAAATGTGACCATGGCCACACTTACAATGTCTGCCTCCTAAAGTATATGCTGAACTTGCTGATGTCTTAACAGAGGCTGTAGTGAACTCTATTTGGGCCGTTAAAAAACAAGGTGAACCTATTGACCTTTTCATGGTTGAGAACATGGAAATGAAACAAATCTGAAGCTGATACAAGCTTAATCAGAAGTCTTGTTTTGGACCTTGGGATGTGCATCCTTATGTGAAAAAAACAAATAGAAGATGCGCGCATCCTCACGTGCAGTGTGTCATTAGAATATGAAAAAACAAGTGATTTTTTTTTTACAAGAGTTCAGATGGAGAGAAACTTGTAAAAGGTGAAAGAAAATTCATTGAAGATACAGTTTAAAAATAATAGAACTGAAAAAGTCTGTGTGATTCAAATAAAGCATTCAAAAGAGAATTGGCCCCTTCTTCTTAGATGCTCTTGTGTAGAGCTGAAAGGAGAGATGTGGAAAGGCTGACTCTTGCTTGTGGTGGAGTAGCTCTAAATTCTTTTGATCATCTGAATCCTGATTGTTTTGGACATGCAGGACTTGTCTGTGAGTATACATTGGCAGAAGAGAAATTCACCTTTATTAAATTTTATTGAATCAGTCCATCATATTATTGGTCAAAGGACCAAATAAGCACACACTCACTCAAAGACTCAATAAGGATGGTTTGAGAGCTGTTAAAAATTCTATTGATGATGGCTGTGTAGTTCTAGGTGCTGGAGCAATGGAGGTGGCAATAACAGAAGCCTTGATTAAATATAAGCCCAGTGTAAAGGGCAGGGCCCAACTTGGAGTTCAAGCGTTTGCTGATAAATTACTCACTATTCCCAAGGTTCTTGCTCACTCTGGTTTTGACCTTCAGGAAACACTAAAATTCAAGCAGAACATTCAAAATCAGGTCAGCTTGTGCATGTGAACTTGAACATGGTCAAGCCAATGGTAGCAGGCAACGTAGGCATATGGGATAACTGTTGTGTAAAGAATAGCTTTATAACAGTTTTTTTTTATAACAGTCCTGCAGTATGATTGCCACCAACATTCTCCTGGTTGATGAGATCACGAGAGCTGGAATATCTTTGAAAATGTTGAATTGAAGCTTCCCTTGTATCATCTGAATCATGAAGATTCTACAGAGTGATCCTAAGAATAGCTTTGGAATTTTTGTCCAAGCTTGCAGTGATTTTCAAAAGCATTTTCTTTTCCCATATGAAAAAAAGAGAGAACACTGACACCCATATTCTGACATTCTGAAATTATAATTACAGTATTTTTTAAAATTATACTGCAGTGTACACATTAAGTAACAGGATATTTTGCTTTAGCTTCAGTGTTATAAAAGTACCAAGTTAGTTAAGTATATGTTATCTACCTTGTTATAAAATGTTCCTTGAAATACAAAACAACAACAACAAACCTACAGTTCACCTTTAATGAGTGGCTCTCTGTGTTTTTTTATCTTAGGTGAGGTTTTTTCATTTAAATTTTTTACGAGACTATTAAGTATATTAATTACATTTTATTATTACTCCACTTAGAATAAGGGTAGAACTTAGTTTAAGAAGATATTGAAAGCACATGGTTAGAATCATGTAAATTTCTTGATTGATAAAGTTCTAGAAGTTAGAAATGTTTTCTTTGTGAATATTTTTGGTCTTTAGATCAGAACAACTGTTGTTTTTTCCTAGCTTATCTTTAGATTTTACGTACTTGCTATAGCTTTAAATAATTTTTGAAGTTTCAAAATTGCTTGTGCCCTGAAAAGTACCTTGAGTTCTAAGGATTTACTTAAGAACTGTAGCACTTGCTTCTATAAGAGAAAACACGGATTCTTACATAATACCTAACATCATACACATGCAGTAAATGTTGGTGAATGAAAGTACTGCTAAAAATGTGCTGAAGTAGTTAAGAGCCCCAGTCTTCACTGAATCACCCAGAGTAA